GTAAGCAGGGTGTTTAAAGAAGTTGCATAAGCAAAAGTCAAGTGGAGCAAAGTTGAGATCTTTTGCAAGTCAGTCAGTGTCACCGCATCTTGAAATTAATATTTCAGAAAAAAAATTCTCTGGTAATTTCTAGAATTATATCTTCAGCGTCATGAAACATGTGTTATTCAAATCATAAAAAAAAGTATATATAATTTAAATGTATATTTAATATTTATAATAATAATATAATTATGGTTTCTTTGAAATAAAGATCAATTTAATGATCAAAATTATTATGCATAAGAATATTCTTTCTCGTGAATATTTCACTCACATTAATGTTATAATTAATATACAATTATTTGTCAAATCGAAAATAAATTTCACTATGTAATGTATGTAATGCGATTGTAATGATAAAATAATTGAATCGTAACTGTATTTGTATCATTGAAAAAGTTTAATAATTTTATGCAATTTATAATGTATGATTAATTGCAGAAATATATAAATCATCATTTCTATCGAACACGTGAAAAATATTATTTAAGAATGCAATTTTTAACTTTTAATGCAACTTTTTCATTAGATAGATTTCATATTATATAAATATTTATCATTTTGAGATATATCTTCTTTTGATAAAATTTACAAGTTACTTTCCTATATTCGTTTCACGTTTATTATTTTATTTATATGGCAGGAAGTTAGGAAAAAAAAAGTTAGAAAACTGAAATTTGTTTCAGAGATAGAAAGAAATATTAATTTTCAGAGAAATTGATAAAGGTTTCGTTTTCAATTTGATTGAATCGAGTTGTGATTTATTTTATAGCTTTCATTTTGTTATTTATCAAGCTTGCAAAACGCTTACATAATAAACTTTGCTTTCCTAACGATTAAGTGAATACTAATTAATGAATAGCCGATAGAGATAACGTGATTAATGGCATTAATATCACAGCAAATAAGCATTATCGAAATCAACAATACGAAAATTCCTATTTTCTGTTCTACCTCTGATTTTAATTATTAAACAGAAACGTTGCACGAAAAAATAAAAGTATAAATAAAGGAATGCAATTGAATTTTTCACACGAATATTTTACTGGCAGTATCTTGGGAAATTTCGTTTTGAATATTTGGTATCGTTCTTGCGAAAATGGCTATTTCGAGACAATGTAGGTGCATATATTGAAAAAATAATATTTTTAAAATTTAAACTGTGATTTTTTTCTCAAGATTTATTTAATAAAAATGATTTTATTTATTTATAAACAAATAGCATTCAAATTTGATCCTAAATAAATATTATAAATTGGAATTTTTATGATAATTTTCCATCAGATGAATTTAAATTGATATAATGATTTTTAAAAATTCTTATTTTAATAATTTCTATGTTTGCTTAAAATTATACTCGTTTTCTAACCTGATCTATTGTTTTTTTTTATTTATAAAATTTCTGATAAGAAATCTTATTGATAAATTCACTGATAAAACCCGAGTGAAACACAATTTCCTTTCTTTTTCTTTTTTTCCTTTTTCATTTCAGCGTCACTGTCGAATTTACTTTGTCTTTACCATCCTGTGACATAATATTCTTTTTATAAAGTTGATTTGTATATTTTTTATAACAGTATCCAATTTTACTTAACATCATTTCAAAATGGAGTTTTTAACACAAAGCTTTGTGAGAAGATTTTATTTCACATTTTTGATATATCTACCTTTTTTCCTCCCATTTGAAAATTTAGTGGAAATATACCAATAATATTTATATAATAGAATGTATTGTTGAAAAAAGACTTTATCAATTAAAAATATTTTTAATTGTTATATTGTTAGAGAGAAATTATATAAAGGCGAACTAAAAATTTTTATCTTCTTTTATTCTAACCTGAAGAAATAATATAAGAGATTATATAAAATTATATCAAAATAAAAGTCTTTCTGTTGTTAATCATGAAATCAAGTTTTCAATATAATTATGTGAAAAAATTCTTTTTTTTTAAATATTTTATTCTTTGATATTATGAATGAACTAAACTATAAACCAAATTATAATTATATATAAATTTGCAAAATAGAGTATTCTAGGATCATTTCACATCGATTTCATTTATTAACTTCGATGTTTTAAGAAATTCAAACAAGTAACTAATATGCAAATCAAACTTTTACACCAATAAATCGTAATATATAAAAAATCTCATATTAAGTTCATAACAATCTATTATAACTCTAAAATTATCTCAAAAAAAACCATAAAAATTAAAAAAAAAGAAAAACCATCGAGCCACTTCAATTTTAATAACTCACGAAAAAAAAAAAATTTCCATGCAAACATGGAGAAATAAAATCCGCGTTGTCCACGAGATATCGAATTACCCTCCCGCGCTATTATTTTCGCGATAAACACATGACAACATTCGCGAACAAAATATTCGATAAAGGGAAAGTTTCCATCCGAGCGCGCCCTCGTCCATTTCCTAGTGCTGGTATCTGGCGAGTCCGGTCGCTTCCGAAAATTATGGTTAAAATTGTACCGATATCCGTACACTTTCGCGCGTTACACACACGCACACACATCCTCTTACCGGGAACGAGGATTTACATATAGATTAGACGGATGTACACGGCTTGAGAGGGAAATAGAAACGTGGCGTGGCTATCAATGGGGGGAATCGTGTGACGATTTTGGCCCGATTTCAAGCGAAACCGGTTCCAGATGTACATACGTGCCTCGCGCACTCGTATTTCCATCTATATCCGCTCTTACGCGTGGCATTTCCTTCGATGCGTTCGTTGTCAAGAAAATATTAGATTAAAGCCTTATTCTTAGTTAGTCTTGATATTATGTTACAGTACTAATTTTACTGTCACTGTTGTGACGTAATTCGTGCTAATGATTTGATAATGTCGAACATGTCGAAGAGTAATATCATAGTATAAATTTTTGCTTTACTTAATGGTGAACGCAGGAATTTCAAACGCGACCATTTTAGAGATCGATCTCTTCAGACACTGGCACTATTCCAACGAATTATTCCAACATAGAACCTAGTATTTCGTGTGATATATCGTATTGCAGCGTCAAGAATCGAATCTTCACTTCTGCTTTATTTCTCTTTTTTCTTATTCTTCCTTCACTTTTCGAACCTACCGACGTGACTCTTCTGTCAGTTTGAAAAGGGAGCGGAGAGGCCATTGAATGTGTCGGTGGAAATCGATGATAGAAAAATCATATCTTTCTATTTATCTATATTTTCAATGCTGGTCGGTTTTCCAAAGAGTTATTTTCTGTATGAATTTCATATGGGGATGATATATCCAGCATTTTGAATTGATTGAACTTGCGAATAATGTTGCATTTATTTATAGATAATAGATTCGTTGATTAGTTTTTGATTAATTTTTATGAATTTAATTCGCAAATATTGCGAATTGAATGCTCTCTACCAAATAACGTTATATTTATCTGTATATGTATAATAGATTTAAAGTTTATCATATTATTTATGGATAATAGATTTAAAGTTTATCATATTATTTATGGATTGTGATTATTGCTCGACAAATTTATAATATTGTTACCAATGCAATTTTTAATAGTCTGATGTTATATAAGCTATTAAAGATATTAAATGAAATATCAATTATTTCTATTGACGTTATTCACACAGTTCTAAGTATCTTTCAATGAAAATAAAATATATTGACAAGTAGTACGATTTCATTTCACTCGCTTTCTTTGTAATTACTTTTTTTTTCATGTGACAAAGCGGTTTATCTTTCGACATTATCATTTGGAAATATTAATCACATTTCATGGCGCGAAATTATATACATGATGAACTTATTTCTTGATCGTTTCATATGCCACGTGTTGCATAAATTGTGATTCCAAACAATTTCGCGTTATAAATTCAACGAATGTTCTATGCACCGTAAAAAATTGCACGTGTTTTCAACATTCAGTTCGTGAAGTATGTAAAAGTGATCGTAACACAATGTTTCAACGCTTCGTTGCACAACTATTTACGTACTTCAATTATTCCATCTGTATGTCTCCAACTGCTGCCGTTAAATACGAGACTGTAAATTTATTTTTAACAAATTTGCTTAATGTTTTGTTTTTTCATGTCGAAGTCACCACTTCGTGTTCTTTACACGTGTCAAAATCATGCAATGTGCGATTTCTATACAATTTTCAATTCACTGGGCTAAATAAAGCGTTAAATATTGTTTTCTATGAAATCACTGCAGATGGAGACTGCATTTTTTTTTTAAATTAAATGGAACAAGAGGCTTTCATTTTGTAAGAAATAAATTTTTCCATAAAAATTTTCTATGAAGGTTTCTAAGTAAACAAAAGAACATTTATTTCTTCATTATGTACTAACATCCTTCAAAGGCTATTACGAATGAAATTTCTAAGGAAATGTTGTTTTAACACAATTTCTTTTGATGATGGCTTTTGTGGTTAGTGTCGAAACAAAAGAATAACATAGATAAAGAATATAAAAAATTTTTCGAGAACTATATTATACGTAAGTTTCATAAAAATCGATAATTTACATAAAAATTGTGTCTTTTTAAAATAGAAATATAATAAGAAAAATTCTTTAAAATATAAGAGTATATCAAATAATTAATTTCTTAATTATTTGATTTTTCTAGTAATCTTGAATATATGATTTGAAATCTTTCTTTTATCAAACTTTGGAAAGTATTTGTTATTTTTTTTTTATACGCGATTTATAAAAATATACTGCTCTTATCGGCTTCATAAAAAAGAAAAAAAAGAAAAAGTGACGGCAGACAGCAATATCCTGAAATTCTGTGAACGAAAAAACAAAAGTGTTGGCGTATTTACGGATAGTAGGTGCTATTCAAGCGACACGCAATATTGCATCCATGATAGCAAAACATCGTGACGGTTTGTTGTTTTATTCCTGCTCCATGCCAGCTGGTGTTTGACTGGTATTTAATTTCTTTCGTTTGATCTTCTGTTCCAGGCGCTTTTGCAAGCACATGACGTAGCGGGACATGAAGTTTATGGCGAAGAAGCCACCAGAGTTACGCCACCTCCTCTTCTCCCCTATCTAAACGGAGGCGACGATCTCGAGGGACAAAACGGTGATTTGGACCTCGAAAATGTAACGCGCGTCAGGCTGGTCCAATTCCAGAAGAACACGGATGAGCCAATGGTAAGAAAATAATATGTATCATACATATATAGTATAATTTTTATAGTATAATTGCGTAAATTAAATACATAATGTGTCAGGTAAGTCAGATAATTAAAGATTAAATTTCATAAATAATATTTTATAAAGATGTATGAAATTTATGGAAGAAAATATCCGAAAATTTTCTTTGGAAATTTATTATAATCTATGAAAAATTAAATTCAATTATTCGTATAAATTAATAAATATGATATAATGTAAATTCGAAAATACGAAAATATTAATATGATTAAATTTGAGAAGTGAGATTATCAAATTTTTAAAATTTATTATCTTTTATACAAATAAAATTTTTCTTCTGTATAAAAAGAAAACATGTTGAAGGAAAGACAATAAATATTAGCATTACTTGTTTGGTTGCAGGGAATCACTTTAAAAATGAACGAAGATGGAAAATGTGTGGTAGCACGAATTATGCACGGTGGTATGATACACAGACAAGCGACCCTTCACGTGGGTGACGAGATCAGAGAAATTAATGGGATACCGGTGGCCAATCAATCTGTCAATGCCTTGCAAAAGATACTCGTGAGTACAATTAGATCAAATCACAGATATTGTGTGAAATATTATTGATTGATATGCGATACTAGGTATTTGAATAACATCGCATGTTTTACAATTGTTTTGTTTTCTTTTTCTGAAGAATACATAAATACATATATAATGAATCTTATAACAATATCTTATTTTGTCGAATGATATAAAATGAAATTATATAAAGAAGAATGCAATAATAGATATATAGATAATACAAAATGATAAAATTCATTTTTTTTTAATTTATTCAAAATTGATGTATTATTTTTTTCGTTCTGCAACATTTAAAATAATAAGTAATTTATAAAATAATAGAATATTTTTGAATAAGCTATATTCTTCAGTCATTTATTTTATAATTTTAATATTAAAATAATTATATAATATTTATATTCATCATTCATATTGAAAATAATGTTTTAAGATAAATGCAAACATACATATACATACAAACATGAATGTATAAAATCCTACGAATATATAAAATTCTACCATCAGATCGATATCACAGAAAATCTGTCCTGATTTCCGATTCTGTTATATAACCAATAAAATCTTCTGTCATTTTGATATATACATCAAGTTTATCGCTAGTTTCGGAGATTTGACATCGAATCTGACATTAATCCATACTAGATACGCAGCTTTTTGTTTCATACTAAATACTCAGTGACTTATACAAAAGAATGATACATATGCAGTGTACTAATGATCAATTAAAAATCATTATCTTTAATATTATAGCTAAATTTATTTATTTTTTATTTTTAATACAGTTTAATTTTTTCTTTTTTGAAGAATTATTCTGCTTGAACTGATCTACATTTATTCAGATAATTAATAGAAAGTTATGTTTAAAATTTTTCTTTCACTCTGGTTTGAAAAAAATCATTCTTTTGGATATTTGTATAACACTTCTTCAAACGCGACTACGTCTTCAAATATTAACAATTCGACTTTCTGTTTCAGCGGGAAGCACGAGGTTCGGTGACGTTCAAAATCGTGCCATCGTACAGGAGCGCGCCACCCCCCTGTGAGGTACAAGTAAGCCCTAAAACCCAAACCCAGTCCCAGAATCCAAGTACAACTAATAAATCCGTGGCCACGGCAGTGTCGAGCACCAGCTCGGCCACTGCCGCGATCAAATCCGGGAAATCAGTGAAAACCTCCACGGCTACCAACGCAAAAGAGAAAAGTAAATCCAAGTCTTCTAAAAATAAAAGTGGCTCTTCTTCGACCGACAGTACACCTAGACGACGACTTAACCCTTTATCAGCTCTCAGATCGCGAAAATCTTAAATTCAAAGAGTCTTTGATAAATAATTCGATTGATTCGATAGATTGATTCAATAGTTCTTCTGATGTTCTTTCTAATAGGAATAGATTTTGTGTTGTGTTTCATCGAATAATTTTTCTGTAGTGATCTTTTTTCTGGTTTTAAATTACAATCGTACGTTTGGAAAATATTAAAATATTTCCTGGTAGAGCACTAGTTAAAATTAGATGATATCTTATAATCTTGAAAATATAGTCTTACTTGAAAATAAGTAAAATATGCTTTATCATATTTTATTATATATTGGTGTTTTTCTTTTTCTTTTTCGTTTTATATATAAAGTTTTTCGTCAGGTTCTTCTATTTTCGTTGATTGATTTTTTTAATATTGAATGATATTTCATTTTCATATGAAAATATATAATTTTGCATCAAGAATCGTTATCAATATTAAGTTTAATACTTATAAAGTTTTTTAATTTTCAGATGGTACTTATAAATTATTTTAATTATTGAAAATATGGAAATTCAAACGAAATTAAGTAATATTTATGTGAAAATGTCATTTAACTTTATCGTTCATCAAAGGATATATTGCAAGAAGATTTATAAATTTTTCATTAGCAATCTCGATAAAAATTTATTAATGGAATACATAAAACTACTTATAACAGATGCATAATTATTATTAGCTATACGTATACATTATTTATTCCAAAAATATATCAGAAAATTTATATTGGATAACAATTATTGGAATTTTTTTCGTATATGATAATAATTATAATCATCGAACATGTGAATATTGAATATGTTTCAGTTTTTGTTACGAATTCACAAAAAATTATAATCTTTTTATTTGTTTATGGAAAATTATATTAAAATTATTGATACAGTGCCAACATTAGATTTTGATTATTAAATTTAAATATTTTTCTTAATATAAAAATGTAAAATAGTATATTAGATTAGAATTCATTTCATCGTTATGAAAAAAATATAGAATTTTATAATGTGATATTACAAAATACAAAGATTAATTTAATTAATTTTCAAATGAAACTTTGAAAACTTAAATAAATTTAATCGAATAAAATTTCTTTTTTGTCTAATGTCCATTTTACTATATAATTAGAAATATAAAAATAAAATAACACATAGTTCAATCTGTAAATTCTTTAATTAGAAGAAAGCTACTTATAGTTTGTATAGATAGACTCATTGCTTTATAAACAATATTAGAATATTAGAACCTATTTCAGACCTATTTCATGTCACTGTGATGATAGAAATTAATTCCTTGGTATTCAGTTAGCCAGTTGTTTGAGTTAGTCTGTTGTTCGCCTATATAGAGTGAGCTTAAATAACAAAATGCCATCTAACTACTTGCTATCTAACTTGAGATTAAATAAAAAATTTCATTTTAAATAGGTGAATTCCGATAAACAAACGTGCTTTTTAGAAATTTATTACTGAGAAAGTATGTACAAATTATTTCTAGCCAATTTATATTCCCATTTTTTCTTTATCCTGTGAATTGCATAATATTAGATTAAGTAATCAGTCTCTTTTCTAAAATGTTATTAATATCAACTACTGTGAATAAATGTACAAATCAGACATATTTATATTAGATAAAAATTATTACAAAATTATTAAAATTATTATTAATTTCTTTCATTGGACTTACTTAAAACAAAAAATAAATAAATTAATTATCTAATATACTAGTAATTTGCGCAAAAAAATAATTAATTAAATAAATTTTATATAACATTTTCAAATTTTTAAAGAAATGCAGACAAACTTATTACTTAATCTAATATTTGAATAAAGAGAATAAATATATATAATAAATATTTTAGTATTGAAATTTTCTAGTCTTTATTCATCGATAAAGTGAAGGTTTCATTTCGGTATTTAGTCTCGTATTACGCGCCTGCCTAGTCTTTTGTACAATAATCGAGAATGATTTGGACTGGAATCGCATCGGAACTTGAGAAGTTCCATGGATAGTCAGTAGTTTATACGTAGTTAAACATCGAGTTTCATGAATGGATAAACGTGGAAAGAGACGGTTCGTATAATAGATTACAGTACCTTGTGTACTCGAATCTGGCGTGTTTTGATTTGTTGGATCTTGAATATATTTGGTGTTACGGTGTTTAGAGAACTTCTATGAAGCTTTAATAGTTAAATTTGTAGGTGTTAAGTTTCGAATCTAAATTGGAATTTCAATTTCTCGAATTATTATTTATATATTTATATTTTGAATGGATATTAATTGTTTTTATTGATATTAAAAAATAAATTTTTATTAGATGATCGAATTAATTACTAGGTAAAAAAAAAAAGTATATTAATATCATTTTATTTTTATTTAATAAAGCTTGTTGATATTATTATATTAATTTGAAAAGTATGAGATTTTATTTATTATTATACTATTGAAAACTATTTTATATTTATTTTTAAAATTGTGTTTCAAGATTTTCTTTCAATTTTATAATACATATTATATTTTAAACAATTTTCATATATACTTTATGCAAATATTTTTATTTCATTTCTAGAATAAAATCTATAAAGTAATTAAATTCATAAAAATTTATATGCTTCACATATAAAGTAATTGAATATAAATTATTAGAATCTACTTCCTATTTTATTTAGAGATTTTAGCATACATTATAATATTATGTGTTGTATAAAACAGAGAAGTTAATTATTAGAAGTTAATGATAGATTATGTCTAATAATATCTAGTAATTTGATATTAATGAATATTTAGTTTGCTTAATAAGATTGATAAGTTTGATTACAGAAAATTGAATTGATTAGAGAAATTTAAATATTTCAAATATAGAATTAGATTTTAAAACATAAAAAAATATATATATATATAAAAGAAAGTTCATATAAATATATATATATAAACTTATGATATTACATCCTATTATAATAATATATATATTCGTACCTGAACATTACAATTCCGTAATAATTGTCTTCATTTTGAGAATTCGTAGTTAATTTTTCTTTCTAATGCTTTTTAGATTGTAATCAACTATTAAGCTTTGTACTTTTGGAATTGGGTGAGCTAAGAAGTAATTTCCAATTTTTCTCTAAATGTATTTTTCTAATATTTTTTAATATTTATTAAATTTTTTTCGATATAGACATAATAAATGTTTAAGATAAGCAAATATAGTCGTTTCTCTTAAAAATCCTGCAACCAGGGTAATATATCTTTCTTAATAATATTTCAAGAGGATAAAGAGTCGAACCTTTCTAAAAAGAATCCTCCGTCCAATAGTTTTAAAAAAAAAACTTAATGTAAATAATAATTAGTTGATGCCTAGAATATAAAAAAATTTAATGTTTTACAAAAATTTTTATCATGTTTGAAAATTATTATTTTTTTTTTATTTATAAAATAGTAAATTTGTTTTCTTCGATATTTTTTGAGCAATCATTTTTATAGTAATATATATATAGTGCATAAACATATAATTTATATAAATTTTTGAATTACAAATAAGAATTATTGGAAATTACTTGTAGTTTTGCCTAATACTTTCAATTGATATTAGATAATTTTTATGCTCTAGGAACAAAGTTCCAAGTAATAAATATGAATTTCATGAACCAATGGTTACTAAGAAATGAATTTAAAGGAATTACATCGAATTTCAATATACTTGAAATTGAATTGCTGAAAGAATTGAAACTGGGTCAAACACGAATAGTTAATGCAAAAAATCGCTGTTCAATTTTGATATCTTCAAAGTTTCTACGAAAATACTTGTAAATCATTCATTAATCAGATTATGAAATTTGATGTTTTAAAATGATATCAGATATTTTCATACATTTTTTATAATTACAATAGAATTATATTATTATCATAATAATTATTTTTCGTGCAATAATTTCTTTTATCCCGTAATAATATTCAATTATAAAAAATAATTTTATCAAAGTTTCGTACATTGGTAAAAATATATTCACAAATTACGTTCATTAATTTTTTCATAAATGTATCTTTTTGAATATAAATTTAAATTAAATGAAATAATTTTTAAATCATTTCTTTAATGATAAATCATTTCTTTAATGATTCGAAATAAAACATCATCTATTAATTTTATTTAAAATTAATCACTATCAAACGAAAATTATCAAAAATTATGCTGCGTTTTTAATAAATTGAAAAGAGCAATTATAGCAATTACGTATGCTAAGAAATAATATTTTTTTAAATCAATAATAAATGCAGAGGATATAAAGAGTGAAATTAACGATAAAATGAGGTATCTAACACGAGGAGCACGAGGTAACGTTATAAATTCATTAGAGAAAGTACGTGCGGAACGTGAAGCAAGATGCAGATTTTTTGAAATTAAGCCAACCAGGATTTAATTGAGCCATTTCTACCCCTACAAATGAGGTTTTCAGTTACCTGCTAACGAACTCTGAAAAGAACGTAGCTGAATACAATGTTTTTTCTACTTTTTTTTTCAATGTTTTTACGAAGTCTTGACCTCGCTATAAGATATCATTTTCGTCCATCTTGGTAAAAAAATTTTTTCCAAGATAATTATTTTTTAATATGATTTATTAAATGGAGCCGATAATTAAAGGTTTTCACTGATTTCTTTGAATGCCTACATATATACAATACATACACACACACATATATTCAAAAATTATTATACACTTAACACATTTAAACACAACTTTTAAACATACTTGAGTCATAT